AGACACTTAAAAGGGGTTGGGCAGGTAAGTGGGCTACACCATGTTGGACAGAATCATGGGGAGAGGCAGTGATTTCTCCTTGTTTAGTTAATATTTGGCTGCATTATCTGGATATTATTTGAGGTGATTATGGTTTGTTTAAATGTTATGTTTTAGTTTATTCCCCCTTTGTGTCAGAGTGGCCTGTGTGTCAGAGTGGCCAGCCACTATTTAAGTTTCCCCAATATCTCAGTTTAGTTCGTTCGGTTCGTTCGGGTCATGTAGCCTGAGTTAAGTTCTGTTTAATTGACCTCTTTTATGGGCCCCGAACGTTTTGTATATTTTGTAAATTGATTATTTTCAAATTCTTTTGTGAAAATGTACCCTGCCAGCTCGGTCCCTGACACACTGCTATTGTTAAGGTTTGTGTAGGTAAGGCACAACTTGAAAAACTTTAAAGCAAGAAAAAGACTCAGTCGAAGCAGCAGAGGAACAAAAATGAAGTGATGGTCTTCAACAGCTCTTCTGCTGGTCAGGGAATATCATGACATTTCTAAAAGTCTGTTCCAGGCAGAGATTAGTCAACATTTTCAGCAAAACATTCTCTTGGAGGAGAGATAATATGAAGGAAATTTACCAAGGACAGGAATAGAGAGACAGCGCTGACACCCTGTTTCTTCATTGGAGAACATTTGTTGTGTGGACAAGTGTGAATTAATGTCCAGGTACAACTGAATGGTCTCTACCAATGTTTTTACCAATCTCGAGTGACTGTCATTTTAAGGTTGTGAGCTGTGCTACAAATGGTCAGCTTGCTGTAGTGTCTGTAAGATGTATAAAAGACAATGAATTTATAGTGCTTATTTATAGTTTAAATGATTCCAACATCACAGAACTAGAAATCACCTCTATGTGGATCAGGAGTTGAGTTATTATTCTATACGCTATTGTAACATCGACATTATTTATATTCATTCAAGTTAGCCTCTGTATGATTTGTTAAGTTGTGAATGTTATGCATTTTTCATTTACGTAATATTACAAAAATTAGACACATCCTATCACAGACAGATGCAGAAAAACTAATCCATGCATTTGTTACTTCTAGGCTGGATTACTGCAACTCTATTATCAGGTTGCCCCAATAAG